GTCTGAAGACTGGTTCCCTGGAAGTTTACAAATATTAGTAATTGTTTTTGAACTAGCTTTCTCTCTCCATCTTAGCAAAATTTGGCTACTACATCTTCTCTTTTAGTGAGATAATTAATGTTAGAAGAATGGGCAAGCTTGCTTTAAAGGCTTTGTTTGTTTTAAAAGTTTTTTTCTTGAGATTTATTTAAGTGAACAAACTCAAATTTACCAGACATAAAGTCACTTCTCTTTGCTGCAATACAACTACAGTTTTAGCTATATTGAATTTTGTTTATTCTCATTTTCATAAAAAGTGAGTAACTGTAAGAATTTTGAGATGTTTGAAAAAGAACCAAAAACGATTTTTTTGGTTTTTAAAAATTCATTTATCAGACACTGGAAAAGTCAGGAGAATCGTAAGCCTGGGAATTTCTAAAGATACCCCCACCTCTATATTTTTTGAGGAAATGATTGTTGTCTGTTCTAAACAATGCACTTAAGACTATTGATAGCGCATTTTTTAGTAAACAGCGTTTTCCTGGGAGTGTGAAGTCTACTGAGCATTTTGTTAGAGTCAGACTTCTCAGTATCACGTGATCTGTAAAACATCAACATTTCCTCTCTGATAACATAGTCTGATTTCTAGAAAATCTGGTTGGAAAGAAAATGTTAATTTATCAACTGAACAGCAATCTTAAGATGTCAAGATTTTCTTTGCAATTTAAAAATTATGACTGCTAAAAATAAAAAATAAAATTTAAAAAGAAAACACTCATCTTTTTAATTTCTCAACAATGTAGAGCTAAAGAAAAGAAAAAAAAGAAACCCTCACCCACGCTATAGCACAGATACTATTATTTTTTTAAATCTAGATTTATACATGTCCATTTAGCTCTTCTATTAAAAAACAAAAACAAAGCAAAACCAAAAAAACCCAAACAACCAAACTCACTGCTATGGAGTTGATACCGAATCATAGCGACCGATTGGACAGGGCAAAACTGCTCCAGTGGGTTTCTGAGGTGGTAACTCTTCTGGAGAAGAAAGCCTGGTTTTCCTTTGGAGGCGCAGCTGGTGGTTTCAAACGGCTGACCTTGCAGTTGGCAGCCCAAAATGGAACCACTACACTCGCAGGCCTCCTCTTGGCTCTTCTATAGAGGATGTGAAATTGGAGAAGACTGCCAACACGTTAGGGCCAAGTGTGGCTTTGATACTGTACTTGAAAAAGAATGAACAGGGCAGCTTCTATTTCTTTACTGTCTCAGGGTGGAGAATTCTGAGCATCCTCACTGAGTGAGCTCTATCACTTTAGACTACATACCGGAGTCACAACCCATAGGGTATGAATAATCTTGGAATTAGGGAGAGGGAATTCCTGGGTGATGAAAGTGGTTAACAGACTTAACTAGACGGCTTGCGTCTACTCAGAGGCACCTTGAAAGAAAGACCTAGTGATTTACTTAAAATATAAAAATTTTAAAAATCAGCTGCTGAAACCCTGTAGAGCACAATTCGACTTTGACACATACAGGGTCACCCCAAATTGGACTCCACATGATGGTAACTGTTTGTGCTGGAGACAAGGTCACCCTGAATTGGACTCCATATGATGGTAATTGGTTGTGCTGGAGACGGGAGAGAGGAGCAACCATCGGTTAAGGCTTCAGCTAGCTTGTCTGCTGCTCACATTATCCAAACTGGACTTCATAAAAATATGCTTCATACTACACATCCCCCAAAGGTGGTCAGGAAATGCTTTCTGACGAAAAGGTAACTTTAGCCTCCTGTGTCCTGACAAAATTTGGATCCAAGAACAATTTAGAACACTAGAGATATATTTCTGACTCTTTCTATGGGAACAAACTACCATCAAAATATATCGCAAGATTCAAGGATCGAAATGCTCAAGAGAACAGAAATCACAATCCAGTTTACACAGTTACTGTAATCAACTGCACTCTCTGTAAGACACTACATTTCACATGTACTGTGTCCATGTTCAATCCTAAATAAAACTGCAACACAGACAAGTAAATAATGTCTTCTCTGGAAAATACATCTTACCTGTGTCAAAATAATCACTTAATTATGGTACCTGCTCCATTTTGATTTTACTTTTTAATAGACGAGAAATAGAATTAGTAAAGATATGAATATTCTTTGTGAAAACATTTGCGTCACGTTTCTCCATCTTTTTAGTTTAACATTTCTGTGTCTGCTTGTGAATAGTATATGGCTAAGATAATTAATGTTTATTGTGTCAACCTGGTGGAAAAACACATGTGTGGTTAATTGAAGGGCAGAGAGATAAATGGCTTGGTGAGCCTCGCCTTTCTAGTTCTCGGGTCTCTTGCTTTCTGATGGTCGGACCAAGGTACATCTGCTTTAGCAGTTCCCTGCTTCAGCTGGCCAGGCTCACTTCCTGCAAGACATCCCCAAGGAGAAGCCACATGGACCTACCCTGATGCAGCCCTGGGTGCTGGAGCAGCCCTGCCAGTACTAAGATGCTCACATGTTCACTGATCCGGCTTTCCTCCTGCAGTCGGCATCATAGTGTGTGTTTTGTGAGATGGAGCAGGACTTTGTGGACTGGTGTCGGATATATGGGTTAATGTTGGACTTTGGGGCTTTGGCAGCACTGGGTTGGGATATTTTCTTGATTTGCACTTACCCTTTATATAAAACTCTTATGCATATGGGTTTCTGTGGATTTGTTTCTTTAATGTACCTAGACTAACACACGACTGAATTTATTTTCACCAGTTTGATCATTCTTAGTACTTAATTGGCAAGTTACTCACTCATAGTTCGCATGATTGCTTTATTTCCAGCATCCAGTTGGTACAAATGTATCCTGATTTGTCTGTGCACCTTCTCTTTCTCTTTTCTTTGTGTATGTAAGGAGCCCTGCGGGCAGAGTGGTTACTTGTTGGGCTGCCAACTTCAAGGTCAGCAGTGTGGACCCCACCCCCCTGCCCCGGCACTCCTGCATTCTACTCCCATAAAGAGTCAACAGTCTCAGAAACTCATTGGGCAGTTTTACCCTGTTCTGTAGGGTCGCTGTTAGCATCCACTCGACGGCAGTGGGCTTGGTTTGGTGGTTGGTTTTGTGTGTGTGTGTGTGTGTGTATTCTACTTTATCCTTTTTAAAGATCACTTTGAAATCTAGTCATCATCTTTCCATTCTTTTGATGGTTAATTTTGAAATTTCAATATTCACCTTTAGCTTAAATCTAAATTTGGTCATTATTTCTACCTTTTGCATGAAGAACAGAGATATTTTAAAGATGCATTGATAATTACTGGTGATTGGAATGGAAAAGTTGGAAACAGTTGTTGTTTCCTTTCAGGATCCTTATTCAATCTGTATGTGAGCCAATTCTCCACGACGCTGGACTATGTAAAGAAGAACATGGCATCAGGACTGGAGGAAGGCTCATCGACAACCTGCAAGATGCACATGACACACCTTGCTTGCTGAAAGCAGAGATGACTTGAAGCACCTAACATTGAAAATCAAATACGACAACCTTCAGTATGGATTGCACCTTACAGTAAATGAAAGCCCTTACAACTGGGCCAATAAACAAGATTATGATAAAGGTAGAAAAGACTGAATTTGTCAAGGATTTCATTTTACTTGGATCCACAGTCAATGCTCATGGAAGTAGCAATCAAGAAATCAAATGTCAGGGTGAAAAAATCTGTTGCCATTTTTTTTAAGTGTTAAAGAGCAAATATGTCACTTTGAGGACTAAAGATGAGTACTGTTCAAATTAAATTCCCAGAAAAGGTTTTAAGTAAGAAAAAAACAAAGCACACACACACACACACACACACACACACACACACACACCAAAATCCCCCAAACTCAGTGCTATCAACTCTACAGAGCAGGGTAAAAAAGCCCCCGTGAGTTTCCAAGAGTGTAATTGTTTCTGGGAGTAAAAAGCCCTGACTTCCCTCAGAAGCAGCTGGTGGTCTGGAACTGAATACCTTGGGAATTGCAGCCATGCTACCACCAGGGCACCTTATAAGTAAGAAAGTAGGATCCAATTTGGGTATTTGTTGGATTTCTTATTTTGAGGATTTTGATCATGTTGGTTGGTTTTTCAAGTTTCGTTCTCTTTGTTCAGATCTTGCCTTCTCCATGAGGTCCAACCTGATCGCTCTGTATCACAGTGCAGCCTCTTCTGCCGCTATCGTTCCTTATTGCTCACACGCCCTTCCCCCATTCCTACTCTCCTCGTTATGTCTCTGCGTCATGCATCCCTTGTGATAACATGCATTCCATAAATAACATGTCCTGTCTGAAGCATCAAGCTCTGGAATCATAGTGGGTTACCCATCGTGCTGCTCACTGTAAGGCCAACAGTTCGAATCCACTCGGCGCTCTGACAGATCAGACTGTCTATTTCTGTTAAACAGTCACAATCTCAGAAACCCGCAGTTACCCCTGTCCTATAGAGTTGCTATGGATTTTGTATGCCAATATCATAGTCAATCCTGTAGTACTGACTCGATGGCCACGAGTTTGGTTTTCCATAATTTATCCATGTATTATATTTATTGTGCTTGTCTCCCTTCACTAAAAGGTTACATCCTATTAAGGGCAAGGACCTTGGTATATTTTGTTCAGTAATGTATGCCGATGATGAAAACAATACCTGTCACATAATGGGTGTTCAACAAATGCTTATTAAATAGACAAATTACTTAACTTCTGATAAGTCTACTAATTGAGATGATAGTCATGGTCTCCAACTTCCTCACTGGGATACATGGGTATAAATGAGATACTTGCATATATTCTGAGTGCACTGATTAGCTGAAATAAAATCACCAGTCACAGAATAACACCAATACCTGTTACCATTTTTTGAAAGCATAAAATATCCCAGTCTTCAAATGTCTTGAAGTTTCCATCCTCAATCTGTTAAGTACATGGTGTTTTTATTCATATGTTTTCTATAGCAATAGGCACGTATAAAATTCAGAACGTGGGCTAATGATCATACCTCATTCTTTTCTTTCAGTTTTGTAATCATAACGATCACAGGGCTGTCTTCCTGCCAGACCATCTGCCAGAAATCATTGACGGTGTTGATCATGGGGCCCTGGGTGGCAATGAACGCTTTCTCCTCCCCGTTGTAGCCCTGGGAAGAGTGAAGAGACAAAAGAATGGCTTTGAAAAGTTCACGCCTTAAACGTACAGTTTAGGTAAAAGATCCTTAGAACAAAATGTTTCTGCTAATCCCAAACCAGCACAGATTGTGTCAGTCTTACAGACTCTAGTGCCACAATCCACATGGTGACTTTCCTGTTAAGTCAAATATATCATTATGGTGGATTTTGCTATTGAGGATCATAATACTCACTTCCCTCCTGAGCCCTGCCCCCAAATAGAAGTCCACACACCAACTCATCACGAAGAAGCATTGTGAAGGACTCTACTTCAAATGTTGGTTGTGACCGAAACAAAACCAATTTGAAAAACCTTGCTAGTAGCTCACATGCTTCAACACGACCAGTGGTTACCAATTGCCCATAGAGGCATTTCCCAAGCCATTATTTGTGAATCACTCCTTTCATGACAGGCCAATTAGGGCATCTTGGAAAAAGGAAGGTTCAATAAAAAATAGCTATGTGGACACTGTATTAAACCAAGTAGGACCACATTCATTTTTAACCAAGGTAAATTGTAAGCTTAATCTACTATGTGCAAAAATGAAACCCAGCAGTTCCAAATAGTGAAACAAATGCCCATCAAAAATACATTCATTTTTATTTACTTACCCTAATGTAATTAGCATTGATGTAGGTGCTCAAGGTATCAGTTAGAGTTTTTGGTCTTAAACACACCCGGCTGAGGGGATCTAATGAAGAAGCCAAGAAAGAATACATGAAACAAATGTGCACACTTTATATACACGTGCATATAGACCGGCTCTCTGGAATGTGCCAAAGGAGCCCTCGCGACATAGCGGGTACACATTGGGCTGCAACGGCCATGTGGGCTCATCGAACCCATGTGGGCTCCTGTGAAGCCAGACAGGAGGCTGTCTGCCCCCATAAAGACGTACAGTTTCAGAAACCCTCGGGAGCAGTTCTATATTGTCCCACAGGGTCAATCTCAGTGAATCGCCCACAGCACTGGGTGGGGGCTTTGTCCATTTTTGTCATGCATACATCTGTGTGTCTGTCTCTATATGTATCTATGTTTATTGAGAGAGATTTAGGCCTTGACCTTGTTTATGATACAGTTCTTGCCCTTTCAGCTGCGTTGATGGGTTTATACTTTATGCCATCCCTCATGTGGGCTTCGGATGCTTCATTCCGCTTCTCATGGACTGCCTTTTCTCTTTGGACTTGGGATTTACTTCAGGTCTCCACACTGTTGGTTTTCAGCATTGCCTTCTGAAAGCGAAGCATTGCTTTTCCTTCTCCCAACTTCAAACCTCATCCAGCCACTTGTGTTTCCACCTGGCCTTGTCCCACCATCCCTCTGGTTTAATGTCCTGGCCTTAGCTCTCAATATCCCAAAACGTGTGAGATCGATTTCTTATTTGCCGGACACTACACTATCACGTTCAACATTTTTGAAATTGAAAGTACCATGGATTGCTAAAGTGACAAACTGATGTGTCTTGCAAGGCAGGGTGGGGGTGGGGGAATCATATCATCGTGAATGAGGGTAGTGCGTGATGGGGACCCAATGCCCATCTGTGGACAACTGGACATCCCTTGCAGAGGGGTAGTGGGGAGGAGATGAGTCACTCAGGCTTCAGTGTAGCAATAATGAAACTCACAACCTTCCTCTAGTTCTTAAATGCTTCCTCCCCCCAACTATCATGATCCCAATTCTACCTTGCAAACCTGGTTAGACAGAGGATGCACAGCGGTACAGATGGGAACTGGAAACACAGGGAAGCTAGGACAGATGAACCTCTCAGGACCAGCGGTGAGAGTGGCGATACCGGGAGGGGAGGTGGGGTGGGGGTAGAAAGAGGGAATCCATCACAAGGATCTACATATAACCTCCTCCTTGGGGGATGGGCAACAGAAGGGTGGGCAAAGGGAGACGCTGGGCAGTGTAAGATAAGATAAAATAATAATTTATAAATTATTAAGGGTTCATGAGGGAGGGGGGAGCGAGGAGGGCGGAGGAGGGGAAAAAGGAAAATGAGCTGATTCCAGGAACCCAAGGGGAATGCGAATTTTGAGAATGATATGGGCAACAAATGTATAAGTGTGCTTTGCACAATGTATGTATGTATGGACTGTGATGTATGGGCCCCAATAAAATGATAAAAAAAGAAGAAGTGTGGCCAGAGAGCTCCTTGGAGCAGGGATGGTGAGACCTTGTCTTGTCTACTTTGGACATGTTGTCTGGAGAGACCAGTCTGGTGAAGTAGAGGGGCAGGAAAACAGAGGCAGTCCTTCAGGGAGCTCGATCGACACCAGGGCCGGAACCTTGGGCTCTGCGTAGGAACAATTGTGAGGATGGTGCTGGACTAGGTAGTGCTCCTTTCTGTTGTGCATATGGTCGCTATGGGTCAGAACTGACTTGATAGCATTTAACAACAACAACAACATGCTGTAACTGTGGTCATGTTGGGAGGCATGTACAGGAGGAGAGAATGGCATGCGGGTTGCAAAGATAAACATGATATATTTTAGCAGGTTCTCGGTCTGAGCCCTCGGCTCCTGTTCCACTGATACACTTTGTCCAGACTAAACCCAGTCTGGCCTGAATCCCCTTTTGCTGTTTGGAAGAAGCTGGCTTGGGTGACAGCAGTGCCCTTGTCCTCAGGGACAGCATGGCTCTCTGATAATGTGCAGTCTATGGCATGGTCTTCAATGTGTGCCTCCTTGGGGCAGAGACGGAGCTTTTTCACGATTTCTATTTCACTGTCTAGTATCGTGGATGATAATATACACTCATTGAAGCTCATTGCCATATGGTGATTCTGACTCATCGTGACCATGTGTTCCTCTGAGTTTCTGAGACTTTAAATCTTTACAGGAGCAGACAGCCTCACCTTTCTCCCATGGAGGGACTGGTGGCTTACAACAGCTGCCCTTGTGGTCATCAGCTCAATCTGTAGCTGACAATGCCTATAAAGTCCAACCTCCATGCCACTGAGTGGATGCTGACGGGTAGCGACCCTGTAGACAGCGCAGAGCTGCCCGTGGGTTTCGGAGACGGTGACTTGATGGGGGAGAAGCCCTACTAGCTCCTGTGGAGCGGCTGGTGATTTTCAAATTGTTGACCTGGAGGTTAGCAGGCTTCCCTATTATGCTTATAGAAAGCAAAACCTCAATCCACTGTCATCAAATTGATGTAGACTCCTAGCGACCCAATAGAACAGGGTTGAAATGTCCCTGTGAATTTCTGAGACCAACTACTCTTAATGGGAGTAGAAAGTGCCGTCTTTTGTGAGGTGGCTGATGGTTTCAAACTGCTGACCTTGCAGATCACAGCCCAATGCATATCCTCTACACTACACGGGCTCCGATGTAGCCACTTAATAAATATCTACTGCATTAACTTTAGTGGTTCCTTCCATCTTAAAAAACCCCAGTACTCTGCATCCCTCCCTAGCAATGATTCTATTGCTCTCCCTTTCTAGTCAGGTAAATGTTTAAAGAGTTTATTATACTCACCATTTCTACCTCCTATCTACACATTAACTCTCTGTGCACATACCACAACCTCTCCTAATCCTAGAATTATAAGAAAGTGTTCTTGCTAAGATTTACTTCTCAACCCATGGTGGTTCTTAAATTGTAGTTACTTGCACAATAGAGGGTGGGTGGAATATTTAGACTACAGACATTTTCAACAGAAAATCCATCATTTACATCAGTTGTCAGCATAGGTGCTTTGGTGCAAGTGACCCACCCAGTTCTGGGAATGGAAACGCTGACACAGGACCATGAAACACAGTCTGTCTGATACCATCTGGGCAGGAAATAGAGAAGGCTGAGCTGTTAGTCATCCTAACCATTAGGCAGATAACATAATTGACATGAATTTAAATGCCCTGATTCTATACATTTGGAGAAATTTAACTTTAAAATATAGTCGCAGAGAGAGAGCAAGCTAGAGAATGACAGAGAACACCAGCCCTAATAGTCGCATTTTCAGACCAGTTAGCCAAGGGAGCCATAAAACAGCATTCAAAGTTAACGAAACGAGTTGTCATCAAGTCAGTCTGACTCGGGGTGGCTCCCTGTATTTCCGAGAACTCTGCTCCCTCCAGTTTTCCAGAGCTGAGTTTTCAGTTGGCCTCTGGGGCATTCTTTTGAGGAAGTCTTGGGAGAACTTGAATCTATAGCTCTTAGTCAACAGCCGAGAGTCGAGATGGCTTGCACGACCGAGAGCCTCTGATTACACTTCAGATCATTAGGATTAACTCTATAGACCAATTAAAAATACATTAGAGAGTGACTTTAAAAACACTATATTTCAAACTCTACCAGAAGAGAAAGCAGTAAGATTACCCTTTTTCCAATGGACACTATTAATAATTAACACTTGAATTACTCTGCTTTAATTTATTGCTCCTACCAAAAAGAAGGAGAATTTGGAGCCTCAGAAGTGATTTAATGGACGTCGGTTATGGAAACTTCATTACGCAAATGTCAATACTTTATGAAATCTGTTTTGACTTCATCTTTCGGAGCAATTACCAGTAGAGATTTATGGATTTCACCCAAATTCCAACTGTAACGATTGTTTAGTTATTGGAAATGTTATTTTCTCTCTGAAGCCCTTTTGCCTGCTGTAAGTGGAATTAGTCACTCAGCCTTCTCTGTGCTCTGACATCCCTTGGGCCGTGTCTCTATTTTGTTATTCCATTGAGTATAAATACTTGTTTACATGTGTCTCCTCTCTAGTCCATGAGCTTGGTCTTTTCTTTTTTTAATCCTCAACCATTGTTTGACATCTGTAAGCTTCACACAGCTCAGCGTGGCTTTACCACAGTCGACAGGAGTGTCTCTCCCAGTATGTCCTGGTACCGTCTGTCTCTGAATCCTGCGAGCCTTTGCTAACACTACAATTTCCTAGACCAACAGCAGACTCGCCTCAACAGGAGACCTAGGTTGGGGCACAGAACTCTAAATTAAAAAAAAAATGGATTCCATGTAACATTCACCTAAGTTACACTAAAAAGTTATATAAAGAACAAGGATGCAAGAAGATTGTTATGTACAATAAAACTTTTTGATAAGAGAGTACAGTGAGATAGTTCACATGCCATGCAATGCAATGACTTTTAGCATACTCAGAGTTGTATAACCTTTACCACAATCAATTTTATAACATTTTCATCACCCTAAAACAAAACCTGATTCACTTTAGGAGTCCCTTCCCACCCTTGCCCCCAGCCCTAGGCAGACTCTACTCTATTTTCCATCTCAATGGATTTGCCTAACTAGACCTTTCACATAATGGCTAGACCTTTCATATAAATGGAATAATACAAAGGAGGTCTATTGTGGCTGGCTTTTTCTAGGTAGCACAATGCTTTCAAGGCTCACACATGCTGTAGCATGTATCTGCACATTAATTCGTTTTGAAGGCTTAATCATATTCCATTGTATGTTGAAAACACAAAACCCACTCAGCAATTGATGAACATTTGTGTTATTGCTACCTTTTGGTTCTATAAATAATTCTCTTAACAACACTTGTGTACAAGTGTTTGTGTGTACAAGTGTTTGTGTGGACATACCTGGTGCAAGATCATATACATATGTACATACAAAGACAAGCACATAACAAAGAAAGCTTTGTGTTTCTATGGGGTTGTATAATTTTAGCTCTTCCAGCTAAGTCTTTGATCTTTCTAGAGCTGATTAAAGATATGAATGAGTTAGTTGCGCAGTTTCTTCACTTGTTTTTGATGTCTAATAATCTTAACATCCCTTGTAGAAATGACTCTTTTTTTCCTATTGAATTCTTTTAACACCTTGTGAAAAACCAATTGAGCCTAAATATGAGACAAATAAAGTTGTAGAATCACGTGACTCCTGGACTTGTGTGGCTAGCATTATAACAACAGTAACACAAGCTAAAGTCATTACCTTCAAAATTGTTTAATAATTATCACTCTTGACATGTGTTTACAACTTCAACTTCTGTGTGCATTCCAGTGATGGGAGAATGGGAAATGATAAGACAGGGGCGAATGAGGGATTCTGTATTATGTTTACAATACAAACTGTTGACTTGGAGAAACTTACTTGGCAAAATAGTCTTATAGCGATTTTTTGTTCCATGCCGTGGAATGTCAATTTCTTTGGGATCCACAAAGTTCATAGGTATTTCCTGCAATAACAAATGATATCATCAGTGTATCTAAGGCGGCCACAAAGAGAATCTTCATAGGGGGCCATCTGCTGTACAGCTTCAAAGTAATCTAGCCAACACCAGCCTCCCACCTCGAGTTGGCCAACACCCTTCCTTTCATAAACATCAGCTGCACTCTGACAAGCTACTTCTAAGAAACGGCTCTCTGTGTTAGAGGGTATCATTCTATGCGCGGTCACGAAGAGCCACACAAGCTTTTGGTTAGATTTTAAGAAGCTGTCCTGACACAATTCATGAACTCACAGGAACAAGAGGACACAAATGGATTGAACAATGTGTTCATTTCTTTCAAGTTGTTATCCAAGTTCAGTAACAATACTTTCACGACGGCAGACTTCCTGGTTAACATTAATCATGACTCCTCCCAACATGGTCCATAGAAAGGGCCTCTTTGGGTTAATGCAGGCGATGAGGACGTGATGCATTTTTTTGTATTAAAGAATGGTTCATAGTCGGACGCTTCCATTTGTGGCTAGAACTCAATATTTTCAGTGACGTGCATCCAAACCCTGTCTTCTCCCACACAACAAGAATATAGAATTTCCTATTTGACCATAGTATGTGTCAGGCATCTTAACTGATTGATGAGGGAACACCTCTTGGAAATGCACTAGACCTGCGAGGAGAGCTGCTGCTGCTGGCGGGGACCAGGCAAGTAGCCAGTCACAGTTTTCTAAAAGGTCTGAACAAATCTTTAAGGATTATATAGAATAGTAAGCTCTCTGAGTTAAAATTCTGCACGGGTCTGCTTTGCTGAGATTAATATGAAATAAAATAAATTTTATATTAATTAATGGGAAATAGATAATAAAGCTAGATGACATCAACTGTATATATATTTATTTATTGTTTTAACTTTCTCTAGTGGAAAATACATAACACCCTTGCCCAATATTGATTGAAAGGAAAGAAATGATCTTTAAACTAATTCAAAGTGTCTGCTAATCTGAGTGTTGCGTTAATCTGAGAATTGGAGAAAAGTCACACTGCTTTACGAACTTGCCACCTTGTCTACAGAGAGTAGCTTTTTAAACATCATTTTTATACTTGTATTCTTTTACGAATTTGTAATACTCAGTCTACTGTGGGTTCCAGTAAAATGCTTTAGCATCTCAGTTTCAGTAGGCCACATGAGCAACAGTGCTGCATGCAACCGAGGACCCCCAGCCTCAGCTCCGAGGGCTTTGGCTAGGTCACCCTGCTCTGCAAACACCACAAAGCAGACAATGTCTCCATTGGCCCCTTGTTCCTTTCTTCTCACCTCTTGTTTTCTGATAAACTGAAAAACCAACAGAAAACCCCAATTCACTGTCATCTAGTTGATTCCAACTTACATCGACCCGACAGGGCAGGGTAGAACAGACCCTGTGGGCTTCCAAGACCATAACTCTTTACAGGAGTAATAGCCTCATTTCTCTCCTATAGAGCAGCTGGCGGTTTCAAATTACAGACCTTTTGGTGAGCAGCCTGCTGCGTAACCCACCACACCACAAGGGCACACTGACAACTGGTCATCTTACACCATCATCCCTCCTGGACACTCCACGCTGCCTCTATCTTCCCTTTCCGGAAAGGAGGCTAGGTCAAGCATTGCTCTCCAAGAGCAAAGACCTCGCTGTAGTTCTAGAAAGAACCATGGCTGTGCCTTCCGCTAGATGTGTGCTTATTGAACGGTCTTTCATTCTATAGGTCTCATATATAAAAAGACACTGTAAAGTCTCATTTGAAAAACTCCGCATTTGTGTTTTGCTTGAGACACTTAACAGTTCATGGAGGTAATGGAAGATCTAACCCATTAGGGATCTTTCACCATTAAGCGTGGTTGCATATATCTAAACTGACCCTAGAAGGGTCAATTTATCACACCCAATTGAAATGGCTTAAGATGCATACTGGATTTAAGACATAAGTTTACCTATAAAAATGATTCCTTTGGGAAACAAAAATCTCATTCTATGTCCGCTAACAAGTATATAACAATATATATGTAATTATTACCAGCAGCACTGATGCATCTAAGGTTGAAGTCGCCATCATTTGTAGTCCACAATTGATCTTCCACCTGTGTTCCTTATTTTATTTAAGGGGACCCCCCCCAGTCTGTTGCTCAAGCTTGTAATTAGGATGTTATCTCTGGCTTTCCCCTTGGCTTTGACTATGTCAGCCACTTACAAAGTTTGGAAGCACACAGGGTCAGTTCTACCCTGACCTATAGGGTCATTATGAGTCGGCATTGACTCGATGGCAATGGATTTATTTTTATTGAGCTTGGTGGCCTAGTGGTTACGTGTTGGGCTGCCAAGTGCAACGCCGGCAGTTTGAAACCGCAGCTGCTCCAGTGGAGGAAGACAACGTCGTCCACTGCTGTAAAGAGTTACAGTCTTGGAAGCCCTCGTGGGCAGTTCCACCCTGCGTTCTTCGATCGCTGTGAACTGGGCTCGAGTCGATGATGTTGCGGCGGCGTTCTTTGTAGATTCCTGTGGTTATCGTCACATTCCCTGCCGCTGTCTTAGCTGCGGCTGGTGGTTTCAAATGACAGGGTTCCTGAAACTGTCAAGCTTTACAAAGGCAAACGGCCTCATTTTTGTCTCCAGCAGAGGAACTGGGGGATTTGGAACACCCACCTTTCAGGGAGCAGCACAGTGCTTAACCCATGGTGCCATCAGGGTTTCTTCAGAGGGACCCTGTTACCCCCACTTGCTCACTGTCATTGGATCTATCCCGACTCATCGTGACCTGGTACAGGATGTATGAAGCTGCAAATCTTCCAGGAAGCAGGTAGCCTCACCTTTCTCCTGATGGCATGTAAGAGGCCCCTCCCTGTGCCCTCCACAAGGACAGAGCAAGCTGCTTAACAGGATTTCCACGGCTGAAATCTTTATGGAAACAGATAGCCACATCGTTTTCCTGTGGAATGGTTGGTACGTTTGAATGATTGACCTTACAGGCAAGCACTTCACCTCGGTGCCACCAGGGGTCCTTCCCGAGAGCCTACTCCCTAAAAACACTACGGGAGCAAATAATAAACCGCGGTCTCACCATGAATTCACTTTGGAGTAAACGTGAACTTGCCATGACGTCCCTCAGCTGTGACCTTGTGAGAATCCGGCTGGCTGATTGCAGATACTCCATGGCTGCCTTCTCCCGGGGGGTTGGTACGGCCACCAAGGGGTCAACATTCCCCAAGCTACTCATATCCAGTGTAAGGGATACGTTGGACCCTCGCCTATGTTGGAAAAAGAATGAAAACAGGTTTAAATATCACATTGATTCATTTCTTTATATTATTTTTCCGGTTCAAATTTTTACAGTCGGAGAATGTATTGATAGCAATGATTACAATAGGCGGTGCCATCCTACCCTTCATAATGCAGTTATTTTTCATCACTGTTAATCCTCTACCCAATCCCTTCCTCCTCCTACCTCCTTCCTCAATCCTGGTAATCACTAATAAGCTTTGCTCACTATAGATTTGCCTTTTCTTTTCATAGGAGTATAAATCAGGGCATGCAGTATTTGTCCTTTTGT